TGAAATTGGGATTTTGCATTGGAATTTATTTTATTGTGATTTACACCCAAAATGATAGTGTTGGAACTTTCTTTACCATTGTTTTTTGAACAGGTATTTGTGCCTTTTTTTTTTGGACAGCACATAAAAACTGGCTTTTACTGATGATTTTGAGATTGTTCACACTGATACAGAGATTATAAGCTTAAGTTTAGATAGGTTTGAAAGCTTTTAAAAATAATTACATCTTTCAGTATTACTTTGGGCCAAAGATGCAGCTCAGCAGCACAGCAAACTGCCTGGCAAGCGCAAGGCGCTGAGTTTGATTCCCAGAACCAAAAAAAAAAAAAGAAAGAAATTGCCTTAACACAGTCTGCTTTTTAATATGTCCAACAATTTGAACAACCTAGCATTTCATGTGTTTGCCAGTGAGAACACAACATGTACCTCCTTCTGGGTCTTACTCAGGAATATAAAAAGAATACGTAGGACAGAGCATCTATTCTCATGGAACTTAGCATTTGCTTAGCTTTGCTCCTCCCCTCACCTGTCCTCCCCTCCTTTCCTTTCTTCTCTCCCCTCCCCTCCCAGTCCCTTCTCCTACTCTTGTTCCTCCTCCTTCGTCTCTGTCTCTGTCTCTCTCCTAAGTTGGGTGCTGTTGGAAAATGTGACATTGAGGAATGACTGGATTAAATGATTTAAAAGATCTCTGGCTGCGGTGAGAACAAATAGCAGGAGGGTGAGGTTGGAGGTAGGGAGACAGCTGTGGCACTAATTCAGGGCATGTTGGCTTAGATCTGTGTAGCTGCAGTGGAGGTGGTGGAGAGGGCGTTCTTAGCTGGAAAGAATTCACGAGGTAAGGTTTATCGAAGGGTATACAGTATAGGGATGGAATGAGAAAGCAGTGTCAAGGATGGCACCAATTTTGGGTCGTGACCACTGGAAGGATGAGGTTGTCATTTACTCGGGTGCAGAAACTGAAGAGGAATGGATTTGGAAGAGGATCAGATAAGCTTTGGGCCCCTCAAGTTTGAAGGGTCTGTTCAGTTTCCAAGCGGAGATACAGAGTGGGCAGCTGGCGACTGTGAATGTGAGTTCAGGGCTGATGTCTGGGCCGAAGGTACAATTTTGGGAGCCTTGCAGTCTTTGCAGAAGCCATGAAGGGGGACAGATGCAAAAGAGGGAGGCAGTCAGGTCTTTGTATCAGCAACACGCTGAAGATAACTAAGTTGAAGTTGTGTGGTTCCTTATTAGCAGGTGCAGAGAAAAGTAGGACTTTAGAGACTGGAAGAGACACAGTCTTTCATGGAGGTATGGGAGTGGAGCTGGTCCTTGGGGATGGTTAGGGTTGGAGGGGTAGCTGAAGGAGGGGAGGGCATCTTGGTAAAATGACTAAAATGAACTCTCCAGTCTTTCAGTGGAAGGATGGGAAGGGAAAACATGCCAAGGTTACGGTAGAATTGTATCACACCGGAGGAGTGTGGGGTGGAGTCTCTACTCAGTCAGTTCCCCAGGATCGTGATGTGCAAATGATGCGAGACGAGACTCCTGTTAAAAGCTTCAGCCTTTCCCGGCCCTGCACTAACAGCTTTTCCTTCTTACCCTGCAGCTGCTGCCGCCTTATATTCTGCAGTAACTTGAAACTGACATGTGGGGAATTTTAAGTACATATGTTATCAAAACAGATGTTTCACAGACTTCATAGACTATGAGGAGGTCATCTCAGCATTCCAAAAGCAGCCTGGAATTTGAATTTAGTTCTTCTCATAATTTCATATTCTCCAAAGTAACTATGTGGAAAATTTAAAATTTATTAGAAGCTTTCTCTTGTTCTTAAATTTGAGAGAAATGGCAAGTTACCTAGAGGCAGATTCTTGAATAATTTTACTGGCCTGGTGATAAATCTAAGATGTGTACGTATTTTAGCACTCTATCTGGAACTTTGGAGTCATATTTTAAAAAGGAAAAAAAAATCTCTGCATACTTTTGATACAAAGTGATAATTAAATGCAAAAATTCCTCATAAAAATAATACAAAGCGTGCTGATCTCAGAACAGTGGTTGGAGAAACTTTGCCCCTTGTTCCCTCGCCCTCCACCTTTTACTGAAATCTGTAGGCAAGCCCAGTTTTGTATTCTGTGCAACAGTTTCTTAGGAGTGACGAAAGTGAAGGACTTTGAGAAAACTTTCTGAGGAGGTAAGAACAAATTAGGTGTTTCTTCGCTCACTGTCCTTGAAGAATGCCAACAACTTGGTGCGGCAGTCATTCACCTGGAGTGACCGAGTGTGACAGTCCATAGCCCCACTTTCCCTTTGGCCTCCAGGAGGTACAGAGTGCAACGCCAGCACGGCCTGACAGCTTGCCTGTGTCCACTGAGTCCTGTAGGTGCTGGCTGAGTAGGGCCGGAGAAGGAACAAGTAGACCCTCTCGCGCTGTCCAGTAGAGCTCCATCCTGCATTCTACATAGGTACTGGCCAGAAATCGAGGCACCAGCCGTGTGAGGCTGGTCTGGTTAAGAATGCGTCTTATGCATGGCAGAACCTGCATTTTCAATTTGTGTCCTTTCGAAGATTTTCAGTGTAAGCAGGCGGGTGAGGCAGTGTGCGGGATTCCCTGTGCAGCAGGGACGGCACAGCCCAAGCTGACAGCTCGTCAGGGGTGCCGCGCGGCGGGCAGACAGAAGCCCGCGCTGCCCTCACTGGCACCTCTCCACTTCCCTGCTGAGTGTCCACAAGCAGATGTGCATGTGGGGACGTGGCACCCTCAGTTACTTTTAACAACTGGCTCTCACCTGGGACTTGTGAAGTCCCTCCCTCTTTCCTCGAACCCCTTGAATTGGTTTCTTTTGGTGTCGGCTGGAGTGTAGCTGGCAGCAGGGGACTGGAGGTGGGGAGAAGGTGTACGAAAAGGTAGAAGGATGTTCGGTGAGATGGGGCCATTGTGACGGTCTTACAGGCTCCTTTTCTCACAGAGATATTAAAAGTAGCCTGTTTGAATATTTTTCACTGCTTGAGAAGGAGAATAGTCTGGGGAGGAGACTTTGGAGGTTGTATTGGGAGATACTAGTCAGTGCCTGGAAAGTAGGAATGTTGTGAAAGATCAGTTTCAGGCCGTGAGAATGACTGCATGCTCCTAAGGCCCACCTTTCACATGTTTCTGACTTTTTAAAAATTTAAGCTTGTATTATTGAGGGCCTACTACGTGCCTTTACATACGTGTAGACTGTGTATGTATTGCTTTGGGTGGGGGCATTAAGGAGAGGGACAAATAATACAGGGTATTACGGAGACTAAGACAGGATTGCTGTGAGCCAGTGAAGGGTTGAGCGCGGGATCTGATCACAGAGTGGACCCAGCCTGGGGAATCTCTTGTGGAGCATTCGTATTCCGGGAGCATTAAAGTCAGGCTTCTGGAATACCGTGGTGGTAGGAGAGAGGGAAGAGAGGTTCTGCCTCTGAATCAGTTTTACATCCGAAGGGACAATCTGATGGCTGCTTGTGAGCGATGCTCCTGCATCAGAAGCCACACCAGTAGGACTCGCTGAGGCAGGTATTGAAAAGGATTTGTTGATTGATACTTCTGTGGTCATTCTGCCACTCTCACTCATAAAACTAAATGGAGCTTAAGTGCCAGGGACTATGCTTCAGTTGCCATCTAAATGAGGAGGGAAAAAAACGTGTCCATGGAAGAAGAAAACTAACAATAAAACATGCCTCGAGATAGATCTCCTGAGCAGTGCAGACAGTAAATACCATAGCCGGCGGTTGTCTTCAGATGCATAAAGGGCTGCTAGGTGAAGCGGTGTTAGACCTCCTCTCTGGGGGTCGGGAAGGCAAAAATGATGGTATTTCTCTTTAATTAAAGAAGCGGCTTTTGAAGGCCTATTTATGCTGAGTACTCCAGGGAGAGAGAATGATTTAGGAGGGGACAGGGAGTGTAGAATGTGAAGATATGACAGTGACTGAAGGTTACTGGGAGGTTCATTTCCTGGAGAAGGAAAAGCGTCAGAAACAGGCTGATGTGAGGAGGCGCCCCCAGTGTTCACAAAAGGACCCTGTATGCAGAGCAGGGCAGAGGGGGCGTATGCTGGCAGAGCTGGGCCCGTGAGATCCTCTGGCTCCTTCTCTTTATGAATGAAGTTTTCCTAGAACACAGCCATAGGCATGGGTTTAACTTTTGGGCCTGGCTGCTTTGACCTTACTGTGGTAGAGCTGAGTGTTTAGTTGGGACACATTTGTGGCATGGCCCACAATGCTTAAAATGTTTATCATTTGGCTCTTGCAGAAAAAGCCTGCTGGGCCCTTCATAAAGGGTTCAGAAATAAAGTAGGAGTAGAGCCTTGGGGGATGTCTGTAGAAGGCTTCTTGCAGGAGGTAGACTTCCAGGTGGACCTTGAAGGAAATGTGGGCTGGTGCTGGGAGAACCCTTTCCACAGGACCACTTGGGCAGTCCAAATCCTCAGGAGGGTGACGTCACCATTCCATACTCATGCATTCCCTTATCGTGTCTCCAGCTGTTGTAGATGGGAGTCTGAAGCGTTCATTGCCTGCTCTTGATAACTTTAGCACAAATTCTGGCATGAGCTGTTGGCATTTTGATAATAACTTTGCTAGTACAGAAATGCTCATTAAGTTCAGTGTTTATAATTGAGTTTTATGGAGTTATTTTAAGTATAATCGTCTCACCTAGACACAACTTGGAATTTATTCACACGTTCGGCTTCATTGTAGGATGTAAGAAATGCTTGTTCCAGAATGGAGACATCGCCGTCTGTGCGGGCAGTGTCACTTGCAGCGTTAAGGGTAGCACGCACATTACTATTCATGCCTTTTTAATTGATTAGCCTTTAAGGCTTCTGAAAGCCTTTAAAAGTTGTTTTGTCAACATTAGACCAGCTGCTGTGTAATTATTGTAGCTCTTCTTGCAGTTAAATTCTTTTAATAATGTGTTCAATCTGCTGATGCCAAAGTGCTTTGAACCTATGATATACACTATAGAGAGCTTTTGTTTTTACTTACAGATGGTTGGTGCTGCTTTCTGGGCAACTCCGTAAAATTTTCACTGAAATTTTAACAATGAATTACTTCAAAGTGAGAGGCAAATGGATTTGAACATCAGGTTACTCCTCCTCCTGTAAAAATCATTCATATGTGAGTTGAATTTTGAACTTGACTCATAACAACCTAAGTATGTTCATTAAAAAGTCTCCACCTTGAAACTTCTGTAAGGCTCTTTCTTTCCGACTTTTCAGCTTATAAATCCAAACTTTCTGGCATTCCATAGGTGACGGTAGAAGTGATCGGGCTTGTGATAAGGATTGCTGCTTTAATGAGGAGCCCTGAGGAGTAGCCTTCTGTAGCCTTCTGTGAGCTAAAGGTTCCCTTAGCAAACTAAATTCTAATTCAGTGGTGTATTCTACTGTTTTCTATGGAGTGCTATCCGGAAATCTGGTGTAGAAAGATGTCACCGAGGGAAAGGGCTGTGTTAGAGACAGACACAGAGAAAACCCGCGTGTCTCTCATCCCGGGTGTGCCCTTGCTGCGCAGCGTGTGCTGCTTGGACAGGCTGCTTAGACGGAGAAGGCAGATACAGGGTGGGGCTAAGTGGTGGCCGCAGCAGAGGTTGTTCTGGTGACTGAGACTATTTTGGTAGCTGCTTCTCTTTAGCAACGTGAGGTAAAAGGGAAGAACCATTGAAGACAGAAGCAAAGGGCTTGTTCTCTTAGTCTAGCACCGGGTGGAACAAGACACTACGCAGGGCTACAGTGGCTCTGTGTGGTCCTTCCATCCCACTTGCATTAAGGAATGCACCGAAGCTGTTGAGGAAGCCCAAGGTGAGTCCCTCGATCCTGCGTTCCCCTTTTCTCTCAGCTTCGTGGTGAAAAGGGGCTGGGAGTGCAACTGACCTTTTACTGTTTGAAAATGTCAGTCCGCTCCAAGCTTGAATAGAAGTTTAAGAATATTAATGACCCCCAAAGTCTGGAGAGATCGGCTTGGCAGCATGGGCTTATCTAACGACGGAGATGCCAAGCGTCGGGTCTCCCCACCCCACTCACGATGCGCAGATGTGTTTGTCTTGGCAGCTGTGGGTGCTGTAAGTAGGGAGCTTTGGGGGTTTGAGGGTCCATGGATCTGTAGGTCTAAAGTACTTGGTGTGCTGTAAAGTGAGACTGAGGCACTCTTATCAAGAGAACTAGGATTTACTTAATTAAAACTCACCTAACTCATTACGTTTCTTCCTGTGGAACCAAAATTCTTCCTAGTAAGTGGATTAATCTTTTCAAACTTCTATTGAGTATTAATTCAGAATATTTCTAAGATTGCAGGCCAGTAGGATAGTCTGCGAAGGTACAACCAAGAAAAGCACCCACAATCTCAGCATTCTGTCTCTAAAACTTGAAACTGTTTTTTGCAATCGTCTTTTGGTGAAATTTTTTGCAAAGGTATGCACTATAGTTACGGTAGTATGATAGGGATTAAATATGTCTTCACGTGTCATTCTAATTGCTTATATGAGACTTGGTCTTCGAATTCTTCTCATTATAAAGAATAATAGTTTCTGTGCTTTATGGAAGTCATGGTCTAGTTTTAGAAAACTGTAAGCTTTCAAACCTAATCTCACGTTATTTTGAGATTGCATTAAATTTGAGAGAGATGTTGGTTTTCCCTCTAAGACAAGATCTGGTAGTCACAAACCCACATACATGTAGACGTACATACATCCATAAACGAGTAGTCAGCTCCCGGAAAACCCCACTGTTCAACTCAGATGGCTAAATGTCATGGAGGTCTTAGCGTCTCAAACTTCTCACCTGTAAGTCTGTGCATCTCAAATTAGTCATCCCTCTACATCTCCAGGTACATTTGAAGGTCTAAACTCTTTATTATCAAGTAAGACAAAAGTGCCACTTGGTGTGCCACTTTGTAGCACACCAAGTGCTTTAGACCTGCAAATCCCTGCACTCTCAGACCCCTCAAATACCCCATCTACAGCGCCCAGAACTGCCAAGACGAACACGTCTTCACACTGTGAGTGGGGTGTGGAGACCTGATTCTTGGCAACTTCATCATTAGATAAGCCCATGCTACCAAGCCGATCTCTCCGGACTTTGGCGGTCATTAATATTCAGGCTTGGAGCAGACTGACATTTTCAAACAGTAAAGGTCGGTTGCACTCCCAGCCCCTTTGCACCACGAAGCCGAGAGAAAAGAGGAACGCGGGGTCAAGGGACTCACCTTGGGCTCCCCAACAGCTTCGGTGCATTCCTTAATGCAAGTGGGATGGAAGGACCACACAGAGCCACTGTAGCCCTGCGTAGTGTCTTGTTCTACCAGGTGCTGGACTAAGAACAAGTCCTGCACTTCTGACTTACTTTGTTTATTATCAAGTATTGGAATTGTTGTTTATGAACAGCAAATGCCCAAGTCAAATTAACGGAAGAAAATTTAGTTAAAATGATGCCCTTATACATGAGGCAGAATGTGGTTTGTTGTTTGTTGTGGTTTGTCTGTTTGCCCTTGGCTTACTTTCTGTGGACTCTGAGGGCTGGTCCTTGCACTCTGGGTCTGTGTGATTGGCTAAGAGTAAATTTGGCACCTGGCCTCTGTCCTCCTTCCTTTACGTTATTAACTGTACAGTGATTGAAAAAAGAGACAGTGGAGTGAAACTGCTGGAAGAACGGAGTTATAGTTGGTCCTTCTGCGCGGAACTAGCATCTGATACCCATCTCTCTTTTTATCTTTCAGCTTTGCAGTTTTCATTCTTTCTTAATGCAGCCCAGATGCAAACGCGGTGGGGATGGTGAGCTCAGAAGCTCCTGAGAGGTGCATGTCTCACCAATCACGGCACTGCATAAGAATGACTGTGTTCTCTCCAGCCCCAGATTCAGCAGTCCTGGGGAAGGGAGCTTACTGGCCCGGGTGGGGGCAGATTTCACACGGCCCGATCAGCGGTGCTGGCAGTAGGACCGTCTTACATGAACCTGTTGTTGGTGGTCCCTTTCCTGTGTGCAAGAGGAGAGTCTGTGGATGGAGAAGCTTGGTACATACGCATGAGAGGTTCTCTTTCCTCACCCTCGGGCGCATCACTTCTCTCTTCCCAACCGTGACTACCTGGCCCGTTCCAGATTATCATTTTTCCCTACTTGCATGACCCTGCACGCCGTTTTTATTTCAAAGGTTTGGAAAGGAACTTGGGGCTAAACATGTAGACTGGAGAATTCCTGGGTTGGTGAGTTAGAGCAGATCAGATCTCCTCTGCTCTTTTCCTTTGATCTCCAGCCCCCGTCTTCCTTTCTGTAATGCAGTTCAGGAGACGTTAGATGAAAAGGTCAAGTGTGAAGCTCACCGTATGCTTTTGACCCAGGAGATGATGCCCTTTTCTAAAGGCTAAATGTTTTCTCAGGATGGATATATCAGTCATGAGTCCAAAGTTTCATGACTACCTTAGGAGATGTTCATGCTTTTATGTTTGTATAATGTGTGTGATGGTCGGGGAAAAGGTACCTTTGAATTTTCTTTGTTTCCTGATTTATTTTTATTATCCAAATTCACTTGCATGCACTTTGAGAACGTTTTGCAAACCTATTTAATGTGAAACTCTTGCAAAAAGTTTAGTGGGATTCTGTAAGTGTTCACCTAACTGGGAGCCATTCCCTTCCCACCTTGTCCTCAGGTGAGCGGCACTAACTTCCTTAAGTCTGCTTCTGACAGCCATTCAGGAGTAATGCATTCCCAAAGGGGTTACAATAGATTTCTAAATCTTGTATTTTCAGCTCCTGCCTAGTTATGGTACCCTGATTGGCATGTAACCATTGAATTAGATTTTTTTTCTGCTAAAGAGATCTTTACGAGCTTTAACTTCAAGTGCCTCTGTATCTGTCTGTTTGTATTATAACTGACACTGAGTAAGCAGGTTTTGTCTTTTAGGGCTGAGGGAGATTTGGGCATGTGGTTACTGATTTTCTTTTCCAAGTTTCCATTTAATAGACAGGTACATCAATAACAATCTCACCTGCACATGTTAACATGATTACTTTAGCTTTGCCATGGTGGGAATCTTATTCCCTGGGAGCTGTTTCCCTGGGCCTGATGACGGATACGGTCGTAAATATACCCCTGAAGGGTAAAACTGTACCTGTTTGAGCACAGATGGGAGGAAGATGAATGTCCCACGGTTTTAGTATTACAAGTTGAATCCCAATGCAGCATGAAATTTAAGGTAGTGATAATTCAACGTCTGTTCTTTATTTCTAGTTTTTTTTGGACACAATGTCTGAATAAATAAAATAAAAAAATTTAGTCAATCAGTTTTTCTGACCATATTGTATGCATGGTGTCTTTTTTTCCCCTAAATCATATATTTCAAGACCTTGACGCCTTTAGGGGGGTTTATTACCTTTAATTATTGTATAGTAAATAAACAAGATAGGTTTTCTGTACCTATAAATGTATTTTCAGTATATCCTTGCATTAGAGTGACTAAGTAATGCAATGGCTGAATTTTAGTTCTACTATATTATAATATTTATTCATTCAGTCAACAAACATCAATTATTCTATCCTTAGAAATTAAGATTTAGCAGGGAAATATAGACATACCAAAGCTACAATAAGGAATAATAGAAATCGTGACAGAAGGTACAGTGAGACACAAAATTAGGAACTGGCAAATTCAGTTCAGGGATGGGTTCAACTGGAAGATGGCAGTCGAAGGGTCAAGCTGTGTTCAGTAGTGTGCCCGGAATGCAAGAGGACAGAAGGAGGACAGGGAGAAGGCAAACGGAGACACGGCACAGTGCAGCGTGGGCAGCTGGGGGCTCACTGTCTGTTCAGGTGAGGGCGTAGAGTGTGCAGGAGCATCTGGAGTTGGGACACAGAAAAGAACGGATAGGGCCGAATCATGGAGCGCTGGATGTATTGGCTTGGGATATGCACTTCATTCTAGATGATAGTATTTTTGGTCATTCTGTTATATGTCTTGCAAGTTACGAAGAGCATAAATACTCCTGTTGTTGTCAACGTGAGGAAGTACCAGAGTCTCACAGAGGGAGGAAGACCAAGTGCTTGTGTGAAGTCATTACCTCAACCGCGTTAAAAATTGCTGGCTGTGGAAGCCATTGAAGACTTCAAAATGAGCACTGATAGTATCTTTAATATCAGTGATCTCATTACAGTGTCATTGCAATTTGTTACTCTTCAAAAGAAATAATTTTAAAACTTAATTACTTTCCTCCTGCATTTCTAGGCTCCCTGGTCTCCCTATAAGTTTTCAGTATCAATAAAAAAATTCATTAGTTACCCTCGTGGTGTGAACACATTTTAAGGACTTGTAGGAAAGGAGTATTTGAGCCATAAACTAGAAACTGGAACTGCAAGTAGAAGGTACTGTTTGTTGCTTCGCATCTTTGATTTCCATTCAGGTCTTCTCTGTGTCCCCTGTGGGCATTTCCAGGCCAACCAGGCAAAGCAGTGTGGCAGGCATAGTTCCTGGCACATAGGAGGCACATAAGGATTGAGTCTGTTTTCCATTACTATAAGAGATGCCAGAGGCTGGGTTCTGTGAAAAAAAAAAAAAAAAAAGACCTCTTTAACTTACAACGTTCTGGGTTTGGTACTGGCATTAGCTCAGCTCAGGCAAGGGCTTCATGACAGGTGGCATCCCCATAGCAGGAAAATGTGCAAGAGGAAGTCATGGGGTGAGTTATGAAGCCAGCTTATAGCTGGGTCCCACAAGAATTATGCGAATCCCTTTCAGGTGTTACCACCAATGGCTGATGACTCCCACTAGGTCCTACGTCATATCGTTCCTACCACCTCTGAATATCAGCATACTGGACATCAGGCTTCTAACACTTGGAGCAGGGGAAACAAGTCCAAACCAAAGGAGGGTCCTTAACTTTCCTCTTTAAACTCTAGCTTTTTAAAAAAAACTGAAATCAGGACATTGGATTTTCTCTTGTGGCTGAAGTCAAAAATGATTGAAGAAGAAAATGGTTACTCAGATGTTAGACCCATATAATGTTAGAATTGGATGAGAATTTAATGATGATGCCATGCACTCAATTTCCCATTTCACAGATGGGAAAACCAAGACCCTGATAGATTGAGGAACTTGAAATCACAAAGCTAATAGATGTCAAAAAAGGGCAAGACCAGGTCTTTAACTCCAAATAGTAGATCACTTTGGTCTCTCAGACATGTAGATGACATTCCTTCAGGTTCTTCATTTTTCCTAAAATCAGCACCAGTAAAGTTTTTAATAAGCATATCTGAAGTATATCCCTCTATAAACTATGTCTTCCTTCTCAGTTTTTTGGGTCAGTCAGCAGCATCAGCATCCATCTGAGCTAGGCATTTTGTATCACTTTTTGAAATTAAAATATTTTGTTAGTGCATGTACAGGGAATTGGTATATGCACGAAACAGGCCTTCCTCATTTTAATCCCTCTTCTCCTCTCTTCCTTTCCCCTCCCTTCCCCCTCGCCCCTGCCCCATTTCCAGGAGTCTCTTTTATCTCCGTCCTGTATTCAATTTGCCATGATGTCCTGATGTCACTTTGATTTTATTTTCTTCATTTAATCTTTCCTCCTTTAACACTTTTCCTTTGACTTTGGACTATTGAAGTAGCTTTGAAATTGAGTTTTCTCTTCTGCAACCCGTTCTCCTCACTACTGCCTCTGGAGATTCCTTTGTGAAACATAAATCTGAATGATGAATTCAGCACCCCTCGATGGGATGGCTTTTCATTTGTAAAGTTCTGCTTTTCTGTGGCCCTTTGCAGTATAGCTTCAGATTGCCTCTTCTACATTTTCTTCTGCGTGTTTTATTCTTCCTTTGTTTCTCCGCCTCTGATCCTTCCAGCTCACTCTGTGTTTCCGACTTCTCCATGCACTTTACAGGGATGCCCTTCCTCGCTGAAAGTTAAGCACATACTAGTGCCCAATATTATGCATGCTGTAAGGAGGAAAAATACTTCCCTCTACCCTTCATAGTTATTAGTCAGGGTGGGTCCCTATAACAAAAGACACATTAATAAGAGAAAATCAGATTGGGTAACATTGCATCCACATGGGAAATATCCAGGGAAATGAGCAGATCTCATAAATGTGGCTTTGCATTTAGGCTTAAATATCATCTTCAGTTGAAACACAAAAGGAAGGATGTTAAGGGTGTCAGTGGGGGAAATTCCTGAAAAAAACACAGTACACAGTGTAAGATGTGCTGTGCAGTTTTACGTTAGTGCCTCTCCTTTGGTAAGAGTCTTTGAGTGAGAGTCATTCTCTTTCTGCTTTGGAGAGGAACAGACGATTGAACACAGAGTGGAAGCTATTGCTTGTGAAGCTATTGTTTTACATCTTTGATTTCTCCTACTCAAGTCTTTTCTGCTTTCCCTATGGGAGATCTCCTTTATAGGTATACATTTCCTTTACAGAAGGTAACTGTTTACGGTGCTCCTCTTGTGCCCGCAGTTTCTCCAAATAATCTTTATGCCAAAGGAACACGCTCTGGGGTGATATATTCCTGTCTCCTCTGCATATTCCTGGGTGGGATAGTCTAGTATGTTATACACACACCACTTTCTTAATGAGGTTTCTCTTTCTCTCTTAGTTGAGATAAATGATCTTCCCCTGTTGGTCCTATAGCACTTTATTTATGCTTCTCTAATAGCTTGAGTAATATGGTCTGCTGTTTCACTAGACTTAGTAATTTTAAAAACTATGGCTGTTTTGTTCAACAGTTTATGAACTTTTAAATATATTAAAAACTTGAATTGACTCATACTTTATAATTGTACGTATGTATGGAGTGCAGTGTGATTTTGACACCTGTATACAAAGTGTGATGATCAAATCAGGGTGAGTAGCATATACATCACCTCAAAAGTTATCAGTTCCATTTGTGAACTCCTTAAACGTGGCAGTTCTATTAAATTAATTTTTGTCATCTTGAACCCTGTGGTAGATGGAATACTAATCCCTCTAAAATACAGACGTCCTAATTCCTGGAACCTGTGGTTACGTTACCTACAAAAAGAGTTTCATAGAAGTGAGTCAGATTAAGGCTTCTTAGATGGGTTGGTTTTCCTGACGGTTCTGGTGGCCCGTGGAAGCCCAGGGGTCTTTAGAAGAGGGTGGCAGGGAGCAGGAATGCGAAGGCAGAAGCAGGGGAAGAGGGAGCTGGTCAACAGCAGCAGAGGCTGGGGTGGCAGAAGGAGCCGTAATCCGGAAGTATAGAGAGGCTGGAGAAGGCAAGGCAGCCTCCCTGGGGGGCCTCCAGGGGGTGGCGGGGCTGCCAGCACCTGATGTTAGCCCAGTGCCGCGCATTTCAGACTCCTGATTGCTGAAACGGAGGAGAAGCTCGTGTCATTTTAAGTCACAAAACTGTGCTCGTTTGCTCTAGTAGCAATGGGAAGCTGATATAGTATAGAGGAAAAAAGGTGTCTTTTCTTTCACCCATCTTAGACTCATAACTGGGGCCTCTATAGGAAACAGATTAACAGAGGAAAACAGTACTAAGGAAATTAGACTTCAGGAAACGGCTGTCCTCCAGCACTTTAATGCTAACCCCAATGAAGAGCAGGTGGTCATGTGGAGGAATGTGATTGGACAAAGCGGTCTACTCTACAGGCAGTAAACGGGGGCTGAGCAGGCCTTATCTCTATGCCTTCAGGGAGAAGAGAGGTTCTTTCTTCCCGGTATAGGGACGGCCCCTCTCACATGAGGGTCTGAACTAGCTTTCTGATGTGACAAAATGCCTGAGAATGTCAGTTGAAGGAGGAAAAGTTCATTTTGGTTCCCAGTTTCACAGGGGTCAGCCCACAGTTGCTGGCTTCATAGCTTTTAGGCTTGTGGTGAGGCAGGAACATCACGGCAGGAAGGCGCGGCAGACGAAAGCATGGGAGCAAGGAAGCAGAAGGGAGAGCGCTGGAGTGGACCGGGCCAGACGGAGGCCCTGTGGTATCCCCCTTGACCCTTTCATTCCCTTCACATGCCCTGTGGTTCCTACATCCTGCTGCTGTCACCCGCCGGTAATGCTGTCAAGTTGTGATCTCAGCTGGAGGTCAACTTGTAACCCGCGCTGAACTGAGTCAGCGTGGTGCTGCTTGTGGGGCGCCCACCTGAGGGTTGTTGCCAAGAGCATAAGGGGCAGAACTGGAGAAGTTCAGAGGCTCTTGGGAGCTGTTAGAAGCTGTTGGGAAGCTGCCGGTTCTCCTGAGCTATTCTGCTGGATACCTTGTCATGCTGGCTTTCCTGATCGGAGGAGGAGCTTGATACCTCGTTGTCACTGAGAA